ACATACTTTCCTGATTTTAAGCCATGTTGTATTTGCACAGTTACTTCTTGATAAAAATTTTGTTTTGAGTGAAATGAAAGCAATTGTTTCACATCATCCCAATATAATTTTCATAGTTTACTCTGGCACCTTTTTCAGCCCTGATCTCATCTCTTTATTTGTTTTATAACCATGGGAAAATGTATCCTATCCAGAGAGGAGGATCTGGAAACTGTCCTGTCCCATCACATGCACATACAAAAATATCGCAGTAAATTGGGAGAATTTGGGCCTGAAGAGAATGAGAGAGACTAACACTATCAAGAATATTAAAACCTTGAAGAATAGCTAACCACTTGCATACAAGGAGGGAATTCATAGCATCATATATCTGAATCAAAATAACCCGAGACCCAACAGAAAATGCAATAGCCGTATTGACCCAAATACATGATAAGTGAGTTAGGCACAGGTTTGTAGATGACTGTTATTGATTATAAACAGATGACCATAGATCTAGGTCAGAGCAGACTGTCTTTTGCCAGGGGTGGTGTCTCATGTGGTCATCATTTACGTTCAATCTCAAAATATCCCAGTTTAGACACTAAAATGCACAGTGACTCTTCTCATTAGGTATCCAGATTGGATCCTGATGATACAATGGTTAACTACTCAGGTGCTAATTGAAAAGTTAGTTTTCATATTCACCCAATAGTTCCATGGGAACTTCATCAGCAAGTGTTTCAAGTTCTACAGAGTTTCAGCAAGCAAGGATACTTCCTCAAATTCTGATTTTTCGTTCTTCTTCATATATTCCAGGTTCTCTGATTATTTTGACATAGCAACCCTATGTACAATAGAACACAGCATTTTACTGTCCTGTACCATCCTTACAATTATTATTCTTGAATCACCTAATGTACTTTCTCTTTGCCGTTGACATGAATTTTACTTCACTTTGCTGATAATGGTCCTGAATATTACCTCCAGTAAAATGTTGAGTAAAATTGGATAGAAAAGGCATTTTTATCTCCTTCTGACCATTGACAGGAAGCATTTAGCCTGTCACCATTGAGATGTTAGCTTTCTAGTTTTTTTCCTCCTGCCCTGTTGAAATGTCCATTCTACTTGAAATAAAGCATTTTAATTAAACATATGTGAAGAGTTTTCTCTAAAATTTTATTTAGTATTTTATTAATATCAGTATATATGATAACTCGTAGTAGCATTATCCTTTACACCTACAATTAAGGTTTTTTTATAGATCCTTTCAGCCAATTGAGAACATTTCTGACTGTTCCAGTTTGTTGAGTATTGTTTTCAAGGAGGTGTTTTGTATTTTCTCCAGTGACTTCATGGAACTCTGAGATGATCATGTAATTTGTTGTTCTTTCTTCTGTTCTAATTGAGTTGAAGCAGCATTTACGTGTATCCTGTAATTATTGGGTACAGATTTACATTTTTGTAGTTATGTGCCTTCACATAGTTTCCATCACAGTGACCCTGTATACAAAGAAGGAAGCACTGCTTGATCCAGGACCATCCTCATAATCAATGTTACGTCCGCACCATTGTTGCAGCTACGACGTCAATCCAGCTCCTCTTTTTCTCTGACACTGCTTTACAAGGCATGATGTGCTTTCCGTACATGATCTTTCCTGATGACACAGCCAAAGTATGTGAGACAAAGTTTCAAGATCCTCGACACTAAAGAGTTTCTGTTTGTACTTCCTCCAAAACGAATCTGTTCCTTTGGCAGTTCATGGTACTTTCCAAACCAAAACAAACTCACTGCATGACTCATAGCAGTTCATCTGACTCATAGCAACCCTATAGAACAGGGTAGAATTGTCCCTTTGAGTTTGTATGACTATACATCTTTACAGAAAAAGAAAAACTACACATTTATCCCCTGTCCCCCTAGATACTGGTGGTTGAGAACTACTGACCTTGTGGTTAGCAGCCCAAATCATAACCACTCTGTGAAAACCATCATTAAAATGCATCAATTCTTCTCCTGTCTTCCTTATGCATGATCCAACTTTCACACACAAACACACACACACACACACACACACACACACACACACACGGAGAAGTAGAACATCATGGCTTGTGACAGGTGCCTCCATGCCCTCAAAATGGCATCTTTGCTCATTAAGAACTACTGACCTGTGGTTAGCAGCCCAAATCATAACCACACTATGAAAACCATCATTAAACTTCACCAATTCTTCTACTGTCTTCCTTATTCATGATCCAACTTTCACACACATATATGAGGAGAAGTAAAATATCATGGTTTGTGACAGGTGCCTCCGTGCCCTCAAAATGGTATCTTTGCTCCTTAAGACTTTAAAGAGATCTTGTGCAGCAAATTGGCCCAATGCAATGCATCTTCTGATTTCTTGATTGCTGCTTCCAAGAACACCAATTGTGAATTCAAGAAAACTGAGATCTTTGACAATATCAACACTTTCTCCATGTATCATGATTTTGTCTTTTGGTCAGTTTGTGATGAATTTTATTGTTTATTTAATGGTTCCCTGAGGAATCCTGCACTCTTCAATTTACATCCTGCCAAAATGTACAGTTTGGGCATCTTCTAAGGACTCAAATTGTGCTTCAATTAAATGTGTTTTTTTTTTAAGTTTGCAAACAAAAATACTGAAGTGGTAAAATTAAGATGATAGCCTGGACAGGATAAGATTTCCCAAGGAAAGTGTCATAAGTCATCCCTTGTTCTCTTCAAAGAATGCACAGGTGCATTGTCATGATGGAAAATCCTTCTTAGTTGTAGCTTCCAAAGTGCCCTGTTTCTTACCATTACAATTTTCCATTTTCACCCAAATCAAATCACCCAATTCACCCAAAACAAGTCATCATAACTTTCTGAGCTGTCAGTTCTGGCCTGACATTAACTGGCCAACAGGATCCTCTCAAAAGTCACTGTTCTGCTTGGGCATTTCTTAAGATTCCTTAAAGAGACAGAGACAAGTGTGTTATTGAGAACTTCTCTGCTGTCATCCACTGATCATGGGGACATATTTAAATACAGTTTGTTTGGAATAAATCTGTACTTGTGTGTACCGTGAGCCTAGCAGCAATATTATTTTATTTCCCTGGTATATTTTATTCTAATAATATTTTGTTAATAATTAGTTTATGGGCACAGAATAAAAATATAATAATGAACACATAATATAAACTAATACCCAATCTGCTATACACTTCAAATATTTGTATATCAAAAAAATAACACAAAAGCAATTGTAGATACATTTTAGGTTTCCTCACATTCATTTCTTATTTTTCTTTCTCTAGATCATTACTATCCTTATACATCCATGTCACTTTCCAATCTAATATGTCTGTAAGTTATATACCATTATTATATACAATTATAGGATAGCACATATCTTATAATTTCATATATATGTTTTTACAAGGAACCCTAGTGGTGCAATGGTTAATCATTCAGCTATTATCTAAAAAGATAATGGTTGGGCCCCAGCAACCAATTCCCAGGAAAAGATAAGGCAGTCTCATTCCATTAAGATTACAACCTTTGAAACCCTATGAGACAGTTCTACTCTGTTTTATAGGGTTACTATGAGTTGAAATGAACTTGATGGCAATGGATATGCTATAAAGGTAGGTTTGGCTTTGTAATTCACTTTATTGTATCAGTATTATACTCGATACTGATTTAAACAGATGATTGTATCTCTGGTTCTTTATGTTAAATGTTTTCCAAAATTTTCTGCATTGGTATTAATCAATCATAATCCATCAATAATTATTTTACTCTCAACTTAATGAACATTGACTTCATCTTATGATTTTTTTTTGCTTTGAGAACACTGCTGTCATATATAGTCATACTCTTGTCTCCTTCAGCACTTGTGTGATAACTTTTCTACAATAGATACTTTGAATAAGTATTGAATTTTAGGGTGGGCATATTTTCACCTTTATCTTATCCTGTCAAATTACTCTCCAAGTGACTTAACACAACCTCTGAGGCATATAGTACCCACCTATTTTCCTATGTCTGTGGTTTACTGGAAAGTTGCTATCCTACTTTTAGTGCACGGTACCATATGATAAAATAAAAAAAAAACTAAACTGACTCTCATTGGGTCAATGCTAACTCATAGTGACTCCTTTGGTCAGGGTTGTACCACCTCTGTTAATTTCCAAAACTGTAAATCTCAGCAGGAGCAGAAAGCCTTGCCTTTCTCTGAGAAAGCTGCTGTGGTTTCCAACGCCTGGCCAGCTGCTAAGGACCTGGATAATTGCATGAACCTGAAGAAACAGATTCCATCTGACTAACCCCAGCACCAACCTCAAGGCACATGTCGTGCTAAATATATAAAAATCTCTATTACATCAAAAATTTGTTTTTACCACATTTAAAATGCCGTCCATTACAAATGTGCTTGACACAATGGATGGATGGATGGAATGTGATAAGCATTGTATGAGGCCCCAATAATATGCTTTTTTTTTTAATGCCCTACTTTACTTAAAACTCATGGTGTCCACGGTAAATAACAGAAAATAATTTGAAAAATTATTTCATAGTAGAAAATAATTTGGTCTTCGAAAGGTTTACAAGAGACAATGCCCTTTAACCTATAATGGAGATTGAAATATACTCTTCATAAAGTTAAATTATCTTAAGCAAAAATGGCCTAATTTGGGGCTGTGTATTAATACAATGTTAAAGGATATTTAAATGTTTGCAATAGTAGAATAATAATAACTGGGGTTAACAGAGTATCTTCAAATGAAAAGACTATAAAATAATACATATAAAAATTGGACTCAACTTGTAACTGGTTTGGACCTGAGATCATCCCCATTCAAACAAATGTTTGCCAAAGCACATGAGTTCATGTGTTTTTCCTTTCTAAATTGGTATCATATTTCAAGATTCATGACAAAATATTTTAGAGATTGGGTTGACCATAACTGATCAGACATTAGAGGATGGCATCTCTTTTGAGAGGAACAATTTAGATGTGCTCTGTTTCACAGCTACAAAACCTTCTTGTCACCTTCTTCAGAGCCCCCACAACTTCCTTGTTCCTCAGACTGTATATGAGGGGATTGAGCATTGGGGTCACCATGGTGCCAAACACAGCAACAATCTGGTCTTGTTCAGGTGTGTGGGAAGAGCTGGGAGTCATGTAGATGAAGATGGCTTGGCCGAAGTAGAGACTCACCACAGTCAGGTGGGAAGAACAGGTGGCCAGGGCTTTTTTCTTTCCCTTGCGGGACTTCATCCTGAGGACAGTGAGGAAGATGAGGCTATAGGATGACAGAATTAGAATAAATAGAACTAGAAGAAACACAATCGTGGATATAAATACCACCAACTCATAAGTTGATGTGTCTGCACAAGAAAGTCTCAAGACGGCTGGCATCTCACAAAAGTAATGATTAATCTCTCTAGAGCCACAGATAGGGAATTGCATTGGATAGATGGTATGGACAAGGGCTCCAAGAGCTCCTCCCATCCAGGCTGCAGCAGCCATCTGCAGGCAGACTCTGGGGCTCATGAGCACTGTATATCTCAAGGGGTTACACATAGCGGTCATAGGCCATGAGGGTCAGCAGGACACACTCAGCAAGTCCAAGGGTGAGAAAGGAAAACATTTGAACTGCACAGGCAAAATAAGAAATGTTCTTCCTCCCAGTGAAATAGTTGGTTATTGTCTTAGGGACAGTACTGGAGATATATGCCAGGTCAATGAGGGAAAGCTGGCTGAGCAGAAAGTACATTGGGGTGTGGAGGTGAGTGTCCAGCCAGATGAGTAGAATCAGGAGGGCATTGCCAGCAAAAGCAATGGTGTAGAAGACAAGGACAATAAGGATGAGAAGGTAGGGATGCCTGAATCCAGGAAACAGCCCCAGGAGGATGAAATCAGTTGAATTTTCATTATTTGGGCTCATTTTTTTTTTATTTCAATGCCAAGTTGAACAAAAAGCCTATGGAAACAAAATAACATGAGAGTGATTGCATTACTTTATTTTATTACTTTGTTTATTTTAAAATAAATTTAATTTATTTAAAAAAGAGTTCCTTCCCCAATACCCACACTCTATATGTTTTTAGAATCATTTAAAAAATGTTCTATACACTTTTATAAAGTAAGAATTTGAAAACTTCTCCAATGAATGAAATCCAAAGACTTAGAATTACAGTTATATGCATTTGGCCAAATGATATACATATTTTTAAAATCATTTTATTGGGGGGTTCATACAACTCATCACAATTCATACATACATCCATTGTGTCAAGCACATTTGTACATTTGTTGCCATCATCATTCTCAAAACATTTGCTTTCTACTTGAGCCTACTTATGTCCTTGATATCAGCGCCTCATTTTCCCCCTCCCTCCTCACCCCCCTCCCTCACAAACTCTTGATAATTTATAAATTATTATAATTTTGTCATGTCTTACACTGTCTGAGTCTCCCTTCACCCACTTTTATGTTGTCCTTCCCACAGGAGGGATTATATAGAGATCCTGATAATCGCTCCCCCCTTTCTACCCCACCATCCTGATATTTCCACTCTCACCACTGGTCCTGAGGGGTTCATTGGTCCTGGATGCCCTGTGTTTCCAGCTATTATGTGTACCAGTGTATATCCTATGTTCTAGCCAGATTTGTAAGGTAGAATTGAGATCATAATGGTGGGGGGAGAAAGCATTAAAGAACTAGAGGAAAGTTGTATGTTTCATCGTAGCTATACTGAATGGGAGAGGGGGATGTGGAGAAAGGAAGTTGGTGTTAACAAACTCAAGGTAAAGGGAACAATAAGTAATCCAAAATCGGTGGCGAAGAGGGTGTAGGAGGCCAGGTAGAACTTGATCGAGGGCAATCTAAATGAGAGGAATTACTGAAATCCAAATGAAGGCTGTACATGTAATGGGACAAGAGGAAAGTAAGGGGAAATAGAGGAAAGAACTAGGAAGCAAAGGGCATTTATACAGGTATAAATACAGTGGTATGTACATATGTAAATATATTTACATATGATGATGGGGAAATAGATCTATGTGCATATATTTATAGGTTTAGTATTAAGGTAGCAGATCGACATTGGGCCTCCATTCAAGTACTCCCTCAATGCAAGAACACTTTGTTCTATTAAACTAGCATTCCATGATGCTCACCTTCCCAACACAATCACTGAAGACAAAATGAGTGCATAAGCAAATGTGGTAAAGAAAGCTGATGGTGCCCGGCTATCAAAACATATAGTGTCTAGGATCTAAAAGGCTTGAAGATAAACAAGTGGCCATCCAGCTCAGAAGTAATAAAGCCCACGTGGAAGAAGCACATCAGCCTGTGTGATCATGAGGTGTTGATGGGATCGGGCATCAAGCATCAAAGAACAAAAAATCATATCATTGTGAATGAGGGGTTTGCCAAGTGGTGACCCAAAGCCCAGCTTTAGGAAACTGGACATCCATCCCCTTACAGAAGTGTTGTGGGGAGGAGATGAGCCAGTCTGGCCAAATTATATTTAATCTTTTTAAAAATGGTAAAAACTCACTTTATCCTCCTAACTAGGGTTTTCAAGCACATATCCTTTTCTTTTTACTTCTGGCTACTAATATATTTTATTTTGTACTGGCTCTACAGAATACATTATGCTAATCTGCCACTACATAGAATATTTTAAGAATCTCTGGAGGCATTCCTCAATTAGGCTCCAGAGACATCAATACAAGGGGCATTTAGTGTGGAGAAGGCTGTTTTTTCTTCTGCGTTTTTTTTCCTTCATAATTCACTACTTTAATTTCTGTTTTGGTCTCTAGTTCAATTTTATTCCAAATAAGTGAATAACCTCATTATTCAACAAAGCGTGTCCTGAAACACAACAGTTGTCTCCTACAGTTAGATTCTTGATTATCCATTCTTGGCTACAAAGTAAAAAAATGTGTCATTGTTTTTACACTGTGTCACATTTAAGGACAAACATTTGGAAGGGATAATGCCAAGAAATATATATCAATTTCCCTCTCATATGTGTGAGATCATATACTTATAATATTGGCTCCTCAAATTCAAAGAGTGTTTGACTTTATTCATCCAAGCTGATGATCTCTTTTTAAGAATTAACAATCAGAAATTTTGCTTTTGTTAACAATAATAAAAACAATACTGTTTCTCACTTACATGATTATTTCATGCTATTTATCTTTATATTTATACCAGTATATTTCCTTTATATGAGGGGAAAATGAAAACATACATAACATAAAGCTCAGCATTTAATAAAAAGTGAACAGAGTTCTTACTGTGGATATATTTAATATATAATTACTATGAGTTGGTATCAGCACCATGGCCCTAGGGTATTAAGTTTTCTGTTATATATTTTGTGGTTCTTGGAGGAGCTTATGTTATTTGGGAAGGCCTCCTACTTTTGATGTGTCTCTGTCTCTCTCCTTGTTGCCATGACCATGCCTCCTCTTAAAGCAGCTATTTTTCCTTGAGGAGAGGAACGAACATAATTGTTCTTCAAAGCAATGGTTCATAATGCTAAAATATCACATGAAAAATGATGTACTGATGAACACACTTGTAGGAAAGCAGACTAGGGAAAGTGTGTGGAATTTTATTCTGGAAATGAAAATTAGAGAAAACAACTTCAAAATTTCATGCTATAACGAAGGCATATAACTTAAACACTTATCCTTAAAGTTGGAAAGTGGGACTACTTGATTTCCAAGATAGTTCTCAAACATATTTCCAATTTCATAAGGAGAATAAAGGTTTAGATTGGTAAACATGCTGAAACATTAATCTGTAAAACCTTCTATTCATTTAATTGGATACAATCTTAATTAAAAGGTATTTACACATAATGTATCCTATTTAAAAACTCCACAACTGGATCAAATAGTTATTGGTGATCCTTTATTCATTTTAGTATTAAAACTGAAATTCAATTTTGTGGACAGTCTTAGCTAAACTGTTAGAAATCTATAGGTCATGTTACTTTCTAGTGAAAGTAATATTTGCCTTGCAAGCCTTTATATGTATTAATTCTATTCACAGTGTCTATTGAAGGAGAAAGATTCAGTGGTGTTAACCAAAGAAACCCATAAAGATTTTGTGGACAGGACAGAAGGCAGCTTCTGTTAGCAAAGCTTGGACATAATGCTCCCACCCATAATTTCTCCTACTCTTCCAAATGTGCTCAAATCTTCTGAAAAAATGGTAGCCAATGAGAGCATAGACTTAATTTTCTTTTAACAATATTATACAAATTTTGTATAAATTATATCCTCATTTCCCTTCAAGCTACTGTACTGTATGCACATGCATGAACTGCACATGCACACACACATCCTACACACACCAACAATAATAAGAACATAAAGAAATGAAAAACCTCAATCTGAAAAGAGAGCAGAAAGTAATAAAAACTAGAACTTAGCAAAATGGGTCAAAGGAAAATAAAAATATAAGATGTTAAAATTTAGACTGTTTCTGTATTAATTCACTTTCTTTTTTTCTTTGTTATTTTATTTATTTATTTTTAAATAGTTTTATTAGGGGCCCATACAACTCTTATCACAATCCATACATACATCAATTGTGTAAAGCATATTGTACATTCATTGCCCTCATTATACTCAAAACATTTGCTCTCCACTTAAACCCCTGGCATCAGGTTCTCTTTTTTTCCCCTCCCTCCCCACTCCTCCCTCCCTCATGAGCCCTTGATAATTTATAAATTATTATTTTTCATATCTTGCCCTGTCCAACATCTCTCTTCACCCACTTTTCTGTTGTCCGTCCCCCAGGGAAGAGGTCACATATAGATCCTTGTAATCGGTTCCCACTTTCCAACCCACTCTCCCTCTATGCTCCCAGTATCGCCACTCACACCACTTAATTCACTTTCTTATCCAGTATGTCTAGGAATAACTATTCACAGCCCTGGTTAATAGACCAAGAGAATTTAATGGAGGCTTTCCAATGCACTTTGTCTGAGGGAAAGATAATTCACATCCCTGGTCAGTTGTCCAAGAGAATTCAATGGAGGTTTAATCTTGAGGGATTCATCCATTAACTTTGACAAACCTGGTGCTCAGAATTTAAGCTACAATTCAATTATCTCCTCTGATCTAGGGTTCTATTACTTACAATCCATGGATCACACACAATGGTGTGTTTTTGTGGGGGGGAGGGTCTTGTCTGGCACCTCAGTTATATGGATGTTTATTTTGAGACAAGCTTTTATGGCCCCTGACACTCTTCTTTCTAATAGCCATGTGCCATCTGCGTTTTCCACAACACATAGCTACAGCACTCATATCGTCAATGATCCCTCAGAGGACACCTATTGAACATCATATGGACTGATAGTTATTAGGTTAGTATTTATGGAGAAGTACAAGGAAAGCTTAGTTTGTTTTTTTTAATACACGATTCATTGTGTAGGCGTTATAACAAGTTCAACAGATGTACTGATGGAGAGCATTACAACACCCGGAAAGGTAGGGCAATACCTCCAGAAAAGACATATGGAGGCAATTATACAATGAAGCATATCTAACATGGATGCAGAACTAACCAAGAGCCAGACACTATTCAAAACACATTGTATGAGTTTTCTCACTGACTGCCCATAAGCAGAGAGAGAACTGTAGTCAAAGAGATGCAAAAATATGCTGCCAGGTGGTGAAGGAGAAAGAGTGTGAGTTCTCACTTTTAGGCTCCTGGATCACCATGTCTCACATCAGTTCTGCCAGTCTCTTACAGCTCTGTAACTTACATATTTTTTTCGAAGCACTAGAATTCATGCTATTTCTCCTCTCCTTGTTAATAATAGGATGCACTTAATAATATTCATTCATCACTGTGAGAAGCAGGCTTTTTTCTCTTTTTCCCCAAACTTGCTTTTCAATAGTTCCCATCTCA